TAAAACGAGTGAAACTTTTGCAAACTTGATTAACTTGCAGTTAGTAAGAGGATTGGTTTTCCAAGGTCCAGTCAAGGTCAAGCCCTTCTCAGTGCACTTGATAAATAAAAATGTTAATGGGAAACCTATTTAAGGTGCTTTAACTTTTGTGTATTTTAAGGAAAAGCAAGTATTAAATACTGCAGCTTTATTAGGATGTATATGTTAATTGTACCTTGTTGTTTTCAAATTATTTTTTAACATTTGATTGATTGATTATGAAGAAGGAAATCTTTATTCAAGGTATTGTGGAAAGGAAAACAATGAAAATGATAGGCATTTCCAGTGTCTTAAGTTGTGATTGTTTATAAGTCTTTCTGTACTCCAGACAGGGAGATGGAAAGAACCTCCATATTCTAAATGAGAAATGGGGGCCAACCGTGTGAATCACTTATCCAAAATTGGGTTTCCTATGCTTTTAACTGCAAAACCATCTGTCTTCCTGCTTATTGTGTACAGTTTATGTGAAATGCTGCAACTGCACCTTTTTGAGGTTGAATGACACATCAGTCACGGAGGCCCCTTTGTCAGTCTTCAGTTACATTAGGCTGAAACTTCCATCATTGGGCATCTCCCCAAGACAGAATTTTTTTGAAAGTTTTCAACAAAAATAGTTCAGTAGTTTCTGAAAAGAGGTTAGAGGAGAAATGTTGTACTGGCCACGTTCAAAAAGAAATCCACAACTTTGTTGTTCCATTTAAGAAGCTTTAGTACCTCCATGCTTTGGATTAGGGAATTAAGATGTGATGGGGGACAGCAGTAACATTCTTCTGAGAGGACAGGGAAGGTGTGGCTGATAGTATTGTTTGAAAATGGTCTTAGTTAAGGCTTTTAAAGTTGGCAACTAGAGGCACTGGTCAGAAAGCTGCAGGTGCTTTCTCCAGCCAAGTTGCAAGCCACTGACACTGGGCAAAAGAACTGAGACAAAAACTGGGAAAAGTGAGAGAAAAAGATGTTGGGGTGGGCATGTGGGACTGGTTGGACAAGAACTGAATGTTATTTTGGAAAACTGGATTCTGTATTTTCCTCCACCACAAGTTCTGGTGGGATGCCAGGCAGGCCACTTAAAGCCAACCTCCTGGTTACTAGTTGCTTGTTTTCTGGGTGCTCAGCTTCAGCCTCTTGGATATGGCTTCAAAGCATGGCTTCAATTGATTTAAATGTATAAACTGCTAAATTAATGCAAAGCACTATGAAGAATCAGGTCTTGACATCTCAGATGAGGTATATGGGCTTAACCTGTTAACCAGTGATATTCCACCAGGGTGCCAGGGCACCCTGGGATGTCATGAGACCCTTTGAAGGGTGCATCAGGAAGTGAGGAGATAAATGGATAAGGGCAGACTCGGGCTCCATGTGTGAGAAGATAAGCAGATAATAAGGGTAGGTTAAGGTGCTGTTCCACTGCCTGGACCTCCTGCAAAATGAGCATTGCAATAAATTGCAATGAAGCTGGGTGACAGCGACCACGAGCTGATCACCTTCACCATCCGCCGAAAAGCTGGCAAGTCGGTCAGCAACGCACAAGTCCTTGACTTCAGGAAAGCCGACTTTGACAAGCTCAGGAGGCTTGTCAGTGAGGCCCTAAGGGACCGTGACCACAGGGAGAGGGGAGTTCAAGAGGAGTGGTTGCTCCTCAAGGGAGCGATCCTCAATGCACAAACTAAGTCTATTCCATCTCGGAGGAAAGGCAGCAAGAGGGCACAGCAGCCCCCCTGGCTCTCCAGGGACCTAGCAGACCTCCTGAGGCTAAAAAGAAAGGCCTACAAAGGATGGAGGATGGGAGTCACCTCCAAGGAGGATTATTCTGCACTGGTCCGGTCCTGTAGGGAGCAGACCAGGAAAGCCAAGGCTGCAACTGAACTCCAACTAGCTTCGAGCATCAAGGACAATAAAAAGTCCTTTTTCA